CATCAACCACATTGGAACCAAGGCTCGGGAGGCACCTCCATGGTGGCATGCAGATGTTCGTCAAGATCATAGACACACAAGATCAGATGAGGACCAAAAGACGACGATCCTTGGCAAGATCCTTGCCGAGGAAATCCACGAGACCTCCGGCAAGATCCTTGCCGGGGATGACCGCGATGTCATGGCAAGACCCTTGCCGGGACCCCGGCAAGACCCTTGCGGAGGACGTCAGCGGGGCCGCGGCAAGGTCCACATCTGCCAAGACTCCACCGCCGTTCCCATGCAGCTGCCAGCTCAGCCAGCTAGGCGAGCACCTGTGTGGCGATGTGCGACCTCTAGACCAACTCAGTAAGCACCTGCGTCGTGGCATGCAGATCTTTGTGAAGACACTACCACCGCACCAGATCAGCAGCCTGCCAGCCTACATGGCACTGCACGCCTCGTTGGCCTAGATGCATGTCGAAGCAACACGGAGCGGCGGCGGACGGAACGGGCATCGTTACTGGTCTCAATAAAGCAAGGGGACACCTAAGGAGCGCATTTAATGCATTTTATCCCATAATGACAGGCGATAAGCTTGTACACTGTACACCTTTCCACCTCCTGTGTGCCACCGTGGCGTCCCCTTTTTCTATAAAAGGAGGCCCGAGGCATACAGAGAAAGGATTCAGATCTTTTGGACTACGCACACGCCGTAGCTAGTTCAATAACTCAAGAACACTCAAATATACACCAAAACAGGACTAGGGTATTACGCATCCTCGCGGCCCGAACCTGGGTAAAAGATCTTTCTGCTAGATCCTAGACCCGCTCTTTCCACAACCTCGCGCCCACCGACCGTAGTAGGGATTCCAGTGATCCCATAGGTGTCATTTTCCACCGACAGTCCAAAACGCCATCATCACCGCCTTCTAAGACGTACAAGTGGGAGAAGAAACTAATAAGTTCACTTGCACAAGACAGATCAGTTCGAAAAGTAAAAAAGACCATGCATAGAACTACATTTGGACGGTTGGTTCTTCCAGGCCAACATACTGCGCCACACACTAGGCGGTTGCCACAATGGGCTGCAAACATCGACCCCATGAGGACTACCCCCACGTCTGCGATGAACTGCCCGGCCCCACCCCACGTCCCCATACAAAGCCCTGAGAAGGGCTCCAAATCGACCACAACTCTGCCTCATTACGAGAATTACCATTGCCGCTTCCATCTCCACTACAAACAATCTAGAAACATCTCTCTTCGAAGCCCACAGTCGTAGGAGGACAGCAATGGCGGATGAACCGTCTGCCAAGCATCAGTGCGGCGAGACGTCCAACCAGAGCAGCACCCTCGATGATGTTCAGGTCCCCTGCAAGAAGCGCGCGTACACAAAAACCCTCAAAGGGGTTGATCTACACGGCAAGGAGTCGCTGGAGGTCGTCTGCACCGGCGAACCAGACAAGGCAACGAGATGATCAATGGGCTATGGAGGAAGGCTGGCAGCATGTTTCCTAGATTTGTCGGCGTTGATGTGGAGTATACCAAGGAAGACGAACTTCCGCAGAGAGCAGCAGTTCTACAGCTATGCGTGGAGGAACTCTGCCTAGTGTACCACATCACAGAAGCACAAAATGGTGAACCATCCTACTCATTTACCATATTTGGTTCATCTGTTTAATTAGTAATGTTTCCTCAAAATTTCCTTAAACTTATTTCACAACTAGATGTACTACTATAGTTTGTGAAAGTGGATGCACTAGTGTAGTTCCCCAAAGTAGACGCACTATAATATATTTTGAATTTGATGCACTGGACTTGATGTACTAGTGTAGTTTCTGATCTTGATCCAATAGTGTACTTTCTGCACTCAATGTATTAAAACATGTTTCTGAACTTGATGTAGTGAAGTAGTTTCTGAACTTTGTCAGTTATTATTTTCATCAACAAAAAAACTAAGAACTTGGTGAAGCACTGGTATGTGTTTTTCTATTCAACAAAAGTAAACTAAACTAGTACTAAAGCAGCAAATAGATCACTGTCTCAAACTGTATATTCCAAAAAGAAAAATAATATGGTGTGTTTACTACTTTCTGAACTACATTGATCCATTAATTATACTATATAAGCATCTACATCATGGATTCATCACTTGTAAAACAAACATATTGAAGAATCAAAACATCAAAAAAATACTAAGCTTCAATATGTCTCTCCCCTTGCATACCTAAGCGCATCAAGGACATGGTGCAACATGAGAAGTTGTTCACCTTTGCCGGTTTTTCCATTGGAGGTGACAAGGAGAAGCTGAAGTTGTCTTGTTTGGAGATCAACCCCAACAAGTACATCGACATTCAGCGTGATTGGAGAGTTCATTCCAATGGCAGAAAAAAGTATGACTCTTTGGCAAATAGTGTAGCCAGCATCATCCACCCATTCTACAAAACCATGAAGAAGAAGATCGACAAGAAGGAAGACCATAAGCTGTGGGGGATCAGCCCGCTGCGAGATTACCTCAACGAGTACGCAGCTATAGATGCGTACGCCTCCTACAAGTCATGGAAGATAATCAACAACATCTCAATAGGTGCAGAAATTACAAAGGCGCAGGAAGCTGACCCCTACCACCACTACCACTACGCGGGATGAAGAAACATCACAGTCTGACGTCGTGTTGCTTGTGCTTGTGCTTGCCTTTTTAACCAGTTTTCTTATGTCTTGTGTGTCTGGTTGAAAACAATTTGCTTATGTCTTGTCTGTCTGGGTTGAAGATAATTTGCTTATGCATTGTGTGTCTTGTTTGAAGACAATTTGCTTATTTAATCAAGTACAGTGTTTGCTTATCTCGTTATGTAAGTTTGGTAGCTTCGTATTTTGTTTATGCATCATTTCAAAATTCAAAGTAGCTTGCGAACGGAACTTTGTGCTTGCTCTTCAATACTAGTTATGAAGCAACTAATCACACAAGGATGTTCCATGTGTAGTTTCGATTTAGCACTCTACGGTAAAACATAATGTTCAAAACAATCAGTTCAAATTGAATTGCTTAACAGTGGTTCAAAAGTTGTAGCAAAAAATCTTAGTACTTCATGTACTGTTCTCATCCATATGTAGCTGCTGCAAAATTAGCAAGTACTACAACCTAAAAGTTAAAGAAGCATCAACACATACTTATATTGCTCACTGGCAGACTAAAGAATGACAGACAATATAGATTTACTAATACAAAAAGGTACAAAGAAGCATCAGTTCGCAAATCCATCAAAAAATATGTCAGACTAAGCACAAAAGTTCTACTTTGAATGAACCCTCAGTACAGCTTAGTTTAGAAGCAAGTACTATAATGCTAAAAAATAAAACTAGAAGACATTTGACAGTAATCACAAGAACAAAACAAAAAAAGGCAAAAAAACTCAATGATAAACGAGCAATTCAACAAAACTCACAAGAACTACAACAAAAGTATCTGTCCAAATTACTGATGGAGTCAAGTAGTAGATTCAAAACCAAAAAAATTGACCGCCAAAGACAGGCAGGCCCTAGCCCAGGTTGACACTTGAACTCAAGCCCTCGGATAAACCGTTGGTGAATCCCTAGTAAATCGCAACAACGTAGGGCCTGCCGACAACGGCCCACAGGTCATATTAGAGAGCGAGTGCCATGTATAAGCGCTCAGGTAAGTGTTCAGAGGAGTTCGACAGGTGGGACTCGGCAGCATTTATAAACAGGCCGAGAGCCCCCTCTCTTAGCGAGGTGGGACTAAAGGCATAGCTCACGCATAGCCAGCAGTCCTCAAAATCGCCTGTGAGTGCCATTTGGGCCGGAAAAGGGCCCAATAGCCTCCCTCATCTCCAAACACCCCACCCATACGGCTCGTTGAATAAACCAGAGTGTGGAGCAAAGAAAAATAAACTACAACAAAAATGTTCGAAAAATGATTATAGAAAAGTTCAAATACTTGTTTCGCAGGCAATAATTTTAAATCCAAAAACAAAAATAAAAAAAATTAGCTCTGCACAACGGATGATTAAAAAAGGAAAAAAAATACGATACAAAAACAAAGAAGATTAAAAAGTAGATAACTTAATAGGCTATTTGTTAAAAGTACATAATTTTAACGAGCGTATTAAATTTTACTTTCAAGTTCAACTACTAAAATGCAAGAAGTTCAAATAGATGTTGTTTGTCAATTCACCTAAATTTATTATTTATATAGAATCTGACTACAGCTCAACTAACAATTTCGTCTTAAATAATCTTAGTCCCAAAAAAATTAGTTCAAACATACATATGACATCAGTACTACAAAATCAGTGCACACACGCTTCATCCACACACAACCGTGACACCAGTTTTAAAAACCTTACACAATATGAAATTACAATTCAGTACCCATAGCACTAAACCATAAGTACACTAAAAACAGAGTAAAAAAACTTATAAAGGCCTAACTTAGGTTGGGACAGATGAAAATAAAAATAAGTCTCAGTTTTGAGCAACAACTAGCAGTGCATTGAAAAAAAATTACAGATCAAGTACTAGTGTATAAGACTTCAGTGCAAAAATAAGACGTAACATCCACACTGAAAATATCACAAAAGTAAACAACACTTAAAAGTACAAAATGCCATCATTACCGACCCTGAGACATGTAAGTGGAATAAGCAGATGATAAGTACAACTTGATAACACTAGTCAGTGCGACCAGTACAACTTGACAAGACTAGTTAGTGCGACCAGTGAATACCCTGGCAAAAAATGGCTTGGACGGTTGGTTATTCCATCCCACCACCCACGCCACCCACTGGGCGGTTGCCACGACGCACTAGAACGGCGACCCCACGTCCACTACCACCACGTCGGCGACGAACCACCTCCCTCATGCCCAAGAAAAGACCCAAATCGACTCCACCATTGCCACATCTCCAAAAAACCACCATTGCCGCTTCCATCTCCACTACAAACAACCCAATCCAGAAACATCTCTCTCCCAAGTCCAAGGTCGTCGGAGGAAGGCAATGGCGCAGGAACCGTCTGCCAAGTGTCATCGGGGCGAGATGTCCGACCAGAGCAGCAACCTCGATGACGTTCATGTCCCCGGAGAGAAGCGCGAGTACACCCGAACCCTCACAGGGGTTGAGCTCCACGGCAAGGAGACGCTAGAGATCGTCTGCACCCGCAAACCAGACAAGGTCGACGTGATGATCGGCAGGCTCAAGATGAAGAGCCTCGACTTGTATCCTAGATTCATCGGTGTTGATGTGGAGTTTACCAGAAGAGATGAACCTCTACAGATGGCAATTGTCCTGCAGCTATGCATGGAAGAACTCTGCTTGGTGTACCACATCGTAGCAGCCACAAAATGGTAATCCATACTACTCTTCGTTCATCTGTTCTATTAGTTCTACTCCCTAAAAATTTCATTAAACTTGTTTCCCAACAAGATGAACTACTGTAGTTTGTGAAGTGCATGCCTCAATACATGTTTCTCAAGTAGATGCACTATAATATAATTTGCCACTGATGCACTGGATTAGCATCTAAATTGTTTCACCAGATTTATTTTTGAACATGATGTACTAGCATTGTTTCTGATCTTGATGCATTAGTGTAGTTTATACACTTGATGTGTAAAAAGATGTTTATAAACTTGATGTACAAAAGTAGTTTCTGAAACTGGTTTGATGTTATTTTTCAGCAGCAAAAAGAAGTAAGAATTTTGTGAAGCACTGGTATAGGTCTTTTATTACACAAACAGAAAAATAAACTTGAAGTAAGCAGCGCATAGATCATTGCCTCTGGTTATAGGTTCTAGAACTTGGTGAAGCATTTGTTGAAGCACTGAAGATACCAAAAAAGAAAAGTAACATGGTGTACTTGAATTTAATTTCAGAACTTTGTGTAATAGTTTCTGAACTACATTCATCAATGACTTATACTATATAAGCATCTACCTCATGGATTATCACTTGTAAACCATAAAACAGAAGAATTAAATCTTCAAAAAAAGAACACTAATATTCAATATGTGTTTCCCCCTTGCAGGCCCAAGCACCTCAAAAACTTCCTGAAGGAGCATAAATTATACACCTTTGTCGGTTTCAGCATTGAAGATGACAAACAGATGCTGAAGAGGTCTGTTTTGGAGATCAACCCCAAGAACTTCATCAACATTTAGCGCAATTGCAGAGTTCCATACAGCGGCGGAAAAGAGTACAACTCCTTGGCAGATGTTGGAGCCAGCATCATTCACCCATTCTACAAAGGCATGAAGAAGAAGATCGACAAGGAGAAAGACCATAAGCTGTGGGGGCTAAACCCACTGCCAGATTACCTCATCAAGTACACAGCTACAGATGCGTACGCCACCTACAAGTCATGGAAGATAATCGACAACATCACAATAGGTGCGAATATTTCGAAGGAGCAGGAAGAGGATCCCTACTACCACTGCAACTACGCGGGTTGAAGAGACATCAAAGTCTGCCTTCGTGCTGCTTGCGCTTGTGCTTCTCCTTTATCTTGTTGTTTCAAACTTGTACTTTGCTTTTGTTAGGTTCAACCAGCTTACTTATGTCATGTGTGTCAGGGGTGAACAAGTTTGCATATGTCGTCAAGTACATCGTTCGCTTATGTCGTTAAACAAGTTTGTTGCCTTCCTATTTTGTTTATCCATCATTTGAAGTTGAAGTAGATTGTTAATGAAACGTTGTGGCTGCTATGCAGTACTAGTCATGGAGCAACAAATCACACAGGGATATTTTCACCAAAAAAGTGGCAGACTAAGGAGAACAGCAAATAGTAGACTTTGACGCTCAGTACAAGTTAGTCCTCTACGGTAGTACTATCACACTAAAAATTAGTTTTTAGTTTCAGTAGAAAACTAAAGAGACTAAAAAGTACTAACAGCAAGATGCTTATAGTTGTTAGAAAATTACTAAGTAGTGGAATATAAAAAACCAAGAACCATCAGTACGTATTTCATAGACACTAGCATACTAGGAGGGAAAGTACTGATACACTTGAACACATAGTACATCTATATAAAAAAAGGAACCGGAAGCGTCAATTCCCATTCCCTAAAAACAGTGATACACCAAGAATAACAGTGCTATAACAATTGAAACATCAGTACAACTTAGTCTATACAGCAAGTACTATGAGGATACAAATAATGCCTTCAGAACAATCACAATCTAGAGAAAAGAAGGCCAAAACTAAATCAAAAAGATATCAGTTCGACAAAGAGAAAATTCACAAGAACCACAATAGAAGTATCATTCCACATTAACCAGTGAGGTGCTAGTTTCAACAAAATAAAAAAAGAGTGATCACAGTGTAAGTACAATTGGAATCTCAGTACAACTTAGTTCATATGGCAAGTTCTATGATGATACCAAAATAATGCATTGGTCACAACATAGAAAAAGAAGGCCAAAACTCAATCAAAAGAATACAGTTGAAACCAAGGAAAAAAACAAGAACAAACAACAGAAGCATCAGCCCACATTGACCAGTGAGGTTCTAGTTTCAAACAACAGAAAAGATTGATGACCTCCCAAGGACAGGCCAGCCACACACAGGTGGATACACTTGGACTCAAGCTCACGGCAGAACCGGTAGTGAATCCATAGTAATAACCACTCTGCGGGCCAGGCAACAAGGGCCCACAGGTGATGGAATAGAGAGCGAGCACTACACATAAGCGCCCAGGTAACTAGACATAGGAGTTCGACAGAAAAGCCACGACAATGCTTATAAACCCATCAAGAGCCCCCTGCCTAGCGAGGTGCGACTAAACTCAGAGTGCACGCATAGACAACAGTCCAAAGTCGCGTGCACGGACCATTTGGGCCGGAAAAGAGACCAATACGACTGCTAATCCCTCCTCTCCAAACTCTACTCACCCCACCCCATAAAACCCCGTTGCATAAAACCAAAGCGCGCGGAGAAGAAACAAAAACTAGTACCCAAAAGTTCTAAAACTGAATATTGAAAATTTTAAATACATGTTCGTAGGCAAAATAATTCTAAACTTCAAATATAAAAATAAAATGAATATACCTCTTCAACACAGATAAAAGGATTAAAAATATGCTACAAAAACAATCATACTCTAAAGATAATCTAAATATGCTACAAAAATGATTATGACCTTAATAGGGCTATCTCTTAAATGTAACTAATTTAAACCAGGGGATTAACATTTACTCTGAAGTTCAACTATTGAAATACAAGAAGTTCAAACAAAAATTTGGCTCTCAAATTTGCTAAATTTCTTATATTTTAATAAAATCTAGCTATAGATCACGTAGCAAATTTCATCGTAAACAATATCAATCGCAAAGAATTCAGTTCTAACACATTATATGACATCAGTTCTACATAACAAGGAAGTGTCACTACACTCACACTACATCCACAAAAACTATTGTGACACCAATTTTAAAAGACTTATGCAGTATGGAATTATAATTCAGTACTCACACAACTATACCATAAGTACAACGAAAAGAGGGTACAGAAACTATAAAGGTCCAACTAAGGTTGGGACAGATGATAATAAAAATAATCTCACTTTTCATCAACAACTCGTAAATGCACTTGAAAAAAAGTGTTTCAGTTCAACTTGTGTATAAGACTTCAATACAAAAATAAAAATTAACCCAAAAAAAATTAATGAGAAAACATACATGAGTGGCACAGCTGTTCAACCACAATCTCATCACAAAAAACGTTTGTAAAACGTTGTTCCACACTTAAAACATCACAAAGTATATTGGTTATTACATAGTAGACACGACATCCAAACACTACGTACAAAGCCTACAATGCTTTCAAGACATAAATCACACAAGTATCCCATTTAATACACAAATGATAACCATTTCTTCTATGCATCAGGAGCCAAAGCATGAACCTCCTTGGGAAGCTTCGTCACCAGAACCTGGTTATTCTGGTTGAACACAACTATATACAGACCCTCAACATTTCAATCAACAATACGCGGCTACAAAACAATAAAACAAATTATCAAAAATCATGACACATAAAAAAGGAATAGACAATCAGGCAAACACAGAAAGTGAAAGCTGAACTAGAACTCACATCATTATTCCGAATGTTCTCAATGATCTTTTCACCATCATAGGTTTCTGCATACTTGAGAGTATAATGACCACATTCATTCGTCCCTTGAAGTGGAACCTCGACAAACTTTGGTTTCTTTGCAAAAACCTCCCATTTGGGATTCTTGCTCGCATTATACTGAGCGTCACCATACACAGCCTTAATTACTTGGACCAATCTAGAGATCTCTAAAAAAAGAAAACAAACAACACATTCCAGGCCTCAGAAAAGTAGAAACAAGAGGGGGGGAATTAATCTAGTACAGAAAATAAATATCACTCACAATCTTCTCGCGGTCTTTGTGATAGGTGTTCTTTGAAGGACGATGGTTCTTAGGATAAGGTAAAGGGTCAAGGATGTCAACGCTACTTCGGTACCGATTCAAGACATATAAGAAGAAGTGGTTCACTTTCATATCCTTTGATAAAGCCATAGGTTTGAATAGAGGCATCAGACCTAAAAACAAATCACCAAAAAGAGATATTAAAACATTCCAAATAAAAACTAGCATCACAGCAAACAAAAAAATCAGCTAGTAGATTTCACAAGGTCAGCACTGAGCAAGTCTTCCCCGTCTTGAACATAGCTCTTGAAATCTCTCGCTACACTCTCCATATTGAACTCTTTATCTTCATCACCATAAAAAGTACAGTCAAGCACAATCTGCAAAATGCCGAAAAGAAATAGAAAGGGGGAAAGGATCAACAAGGAAAGCATTTTAAAAACTCATAAAAAATTAGGCACTCTTGTTTCACAGAAATAAACAATCTGATTCATTACCGTGATGAAATATGGACTCAGCAACATCCTTTTTCCATATGCGAAATCAACATTTCTCTCGGGATCTCGCTTCCAATCATCAATGAGGAAGTCCATTACATCACCCTCCATCAGCTGTCTAGGTCCAAAAACTTCCCAGATGTGTTTGCCAGTGAAGGTAGTTACGTTATCATCGGGCTGAGGTATCATTGAGAACGCATTACTGCAGCACACACAAGAACAAAAAAAGAAGGGGAAGCAAGATAAGGCATTCATAATAGTTCAAGTTATATAAAAATGAGCAGTACAGGACATATTAATCTAGCAGTTAGAAAAAATAGAAGAAAAATAAGAGGAAACATAATGAGAGATACTCACTCGGCATACTTCTCACGACCTTCATCACTAAGCAACAGATTATACAACTTGCGAGCCTTGTCCATCTGAGGAAATTTATGAGGGTGAAGCTACTACACAGGGAAGTAAAACTTTATAGGAGCTCTGGGTGCACGCTTCATGCTTGTAACATTGCCAGAATTCAAAGCAGGATCCTTCCTAGCAAAACTAGCTCTACGGGCCACTATTCCAACAAGGGGAGATAAACCCTTGGCAGCAGCGCTCCTGGTGACTCTTCCCATGCCAGCGATCTTGTCAAACGCGTCATCAGCACTGTTTATCAATTGCACAATGGGATTCTTGGGTGTAGATGGGCTCTCTGCACAAGCTGCCATAGAACTTGTGAGAGCTCCCAATCGCCCCTTCGTAACACCAGATCTTGTCTTTTCGGGAGAACGCCCCTGGTTCAAATCAACAGGTACATGCTCGAGCTCCGAGAACTGGCTACCAAAGATCATGTAGTCATGCTCACCAAGGTCCAG